TTGATTAAATATTTACGCTTATCTACTATTAGAACAAAATCTCCAAGTAGGAACATAACTTATATTTTCAACAATAATCCTCAGGTATGTTTTTTTTCGATATATCTTTCCTGTGTGGAAATGCTCACTAGATCAGGCAGCATCTGTAGACAGAATTATAGAATTAGCTTTCCAGATTGATTGCCTTCATCAGGGAACAAGCTCACATATTTGTCGGTACTGAACATAAAATTATCCAGAACTCCTATAATTTATCCAACAGCTTCTTTAAAACCAGAACTTAGCATTGAATTTCTAACTATCTGGAGGGTTAACTTCATAATTTGAATTTTGTGTCATTTTAGTAGTGTAGATGTTTCCAGTTGCATAAAATTTCAATTTTGTGTGATTAAACCTATAATTTCTGTAACAGTGTTACAATAATTTGATTAGATTGTTTTATCATTTGGATCATCAGTATTCTGCATCTCGAGATCTTTGTGTATTGGATGACAATAAAAGGGTACAATGTGGAGATAGATGTAACAAGTTACAAGTGTCAGTACGTTACAACTTTGGCCCTGATGGTTGCTAAGGGAACAGAAAGATTCAGGTAATAAAAGCAAAATTCTGTGGATGCTGGAGATCTGAAATGAAAACAGAAAATGCTTGAGAAACTCAATAGGTATGGCAGCATCTGGGGAGAGAGTAACAGAGAAACTCTTTCCAAGTGTTAAATTGGACTTGAAGCATCAACTTTGCTTTCTCTCCACAGATACTGACTGTCCTGCATGTTTTCTCCAGCATTTTCTACAGAAATTTTGGGGTCACTGCTAAGTAAGGCAGATATTTTCAGCAATACATTGTACGCCGCAAAAACCTTTGCTCAGGGAACGTTGCTTAATTCCTTCGATTAACTTTTTTACACAAGTGACAAGGTAACCACCATCTGGCAGACAGTCCTACAAGCAGAAGAAATCCATTATGTACCGCTATCCTATAGGTGTTGATCTGTAGCTCTGACAGTTCTTAATGTTTGGCAAACATAGAGATTTGACCTGAACATTTGCTGTTCTAGTGATGCTGCACCAGGGTTGCATGTTACAGAAAATAACAACCTGATAACATCAATTCAATGATGATGATGTATTCCAGCTAACAAGACCAATAAGCTTTGACTTTTTCTACTATTACTTGCTCTGGTTCTAATTTCTGCTGTACTTTTCTGTAGATATGTTCTATCCCTTCCTGGCACATTTGGATTATTGTTCTCCTCTCCACTACCCTGTACCTCTATTCTCTCATTTCTTTTTGATTGTTTAAACTTCCCCTTAGTTGAATTCTCCACGCCTCCCCCCACCACCCGTGTCCCAGCCCTGCCCCACGAATTGGCTTAACACCCTATCTACAAGCCTAGTTCTATGATTCGCTAGAATACTGGCCCTCTAATGAAGCCTGCCTAATGGAACAGCTCTTCCTTTCCCCAGTACCTGTGCCAGTGCACCAAGAGTCATGCATTTACCTTTCTAATCTTATTTACCCTAAGTCAATTTGTGTGCAGCTCAGGTAACCTAGAAATTACTGGTTTTCTAGTTCTGCCTTTTCATTTAGCCCTAAACTGTTTATAATCTCTTACTGGAACCTCTTTCTTAGCTCTGTTATCTCTTTGGTACATATATGGACAACTGGATCTTACACCCATCTTGCTCCAAGTTTGTCTCCAACCTAAAAGAGATATCCTGCACCTTAGCACCAGGTACGCAACATAGCCTTCGCGACTCTCTTCCTTTGCTGCTGAAAGCAATATCTATTCCCCTAACAATGCTCTCTCCTATTAACACTACATTTCTCTTTCCTGCCCCATTTGAATGGCACACTGAAACACAATGCTGTGATCAATTCGCTCATCCTCCCTGCAGTTTGTGTGAACTGACCACAGCTTTGCTGCTCCCAGTTTACAATTCTCCCAAGTTCTGTGCCATCTGTAAACTTTGAAATTGTCCCCAACAAACCAAGATCAAAATCATTCATAAAATCAGGAAAAGCAAGGTCCAAATGCTGACTGCTAAGGAACTCCACTGCAAACCCGAAATATACCCATTAGCCATAGTTGTCTGCTTCCTATCTTGCAGTGATGCTCCTACTCATGCACTGACTGAAATTCCAGTCTGATTCCCTTGCTTAGTGCTGACCAGTGAAGACCTGCCAGCCTTCCTGATTGGTTGGTTGCTCATAGAAGCAGGATCTTCACCCTTAAAAGTATGAATATCCCAAAGATTGATATTTAACCACCAGTGAGCATTTAATCCAATGGCAGCGTCCAGTAGCACAGCCATTAAATCCAGCTCAGTTTTTCCCTGTTACTTTCCCTGCTCTAAATAGAACAACTCTAGTCTCTTCAGTCTTAGACTATGGCTAATTATTACTTAGAGTCCTAGAGTCATACAGCATGGAAACAGATCCTTAGGTCCAACCAGACCATGCCGAACATAATCCAAAACTAAATTAGTCCCACCTGCCTGCTCGTTACTCATATCCTGCCAAACTTTCTTGTTCATGTACTTAACTAACTGTGCCTGCATCCGTCACTTCCTCAGGAAGTTGATTCCACACGCGAACCATCGTCTGTGTAAAAAAAATTCCCATTTTTAAAAAAAATCTCTCCTCTCGTGTTAAAAATATGCTCCCTAGTCTTAAAATTGCCCATCCTAGGGAAAAGACACGTGCCATTAACCCTATGTATACCCTTCATGATTTTCCAACCATAGCCTAACCAGTGATTTAGAAAACTTGGAATAGCTTCTTAATGTATGTATAATTTCCAGGTGAACATAAATAAACATAGAAGGAGTATTTATATTCAAGAACTTAGGTGATGAATCACATTATATTGTTCAGGATACTGACAAAATTAAATAGAAAAAAGAAGTTGAATTAGAATGTAACAATAGGTAATGTTAGCAGGAGCTTCAAATAACTCTAGATTGTGATCATAATACAGAATCCCTCTCTTTCACTATTCTGGAAAATAAGTTTTTTTTGAGAATTCCATTATTAAGAAGGAAGGAGAGGAGTGAAGTGAAACAAAATCAGAGGAGATGTACGTTCCATTCAAGTCTAAGTATCTTCTTTTTATATTCATGATATGGAGGTGCCGGTGTTGGACTGGGGTGGACCAGGTCAGAAATCATATGACAACAGGTTATAGTCCAACAGGTTTATTTGAAATCACAAGCTTTCAGAGCTTTAGTCCTTCTTCAGGTGTTGGTGAGAGAGGTAGAATCAGACACAGAATTTATAAGTAAAAGATCAGAGGTTCACACCATTGATGAGGATGTAGTAAATAAACTTAAGATGCTGTTAAATCTTTAATCAGTTAGAAAGTTTTAATTGATTAATGTGTGTATGTAAATCCCCAAATTCCTTTCAAGTCATGGTCCTGAGAGAACTAAAGGTTTTATCAGTGTAAATAAGAGATGACATTTTAGATCAGACAGTGCATGTTAGGTGTGAGGCCTTGTTTAGAATCTGTTTGTGTTTTGGTTCGGAGTCAGGCTGGTTTTATTTCTAAAGTAGGAATTTATAAAACACCACATTGACTGACTGTCTATAAATTGTGTGCTTTTTGAGCAAAATAAAATAAAATTTTCATTTAGGTGTTTCGCTGTAGCACGTTGGAACTGGCAATCGATGAATTGAGCATCGTATCCTGTTCCTATGAGGGCATCCTTCAACACCTTCAGGTGTCTGTCCCATTCCTCCTTTAATATGTCCTTTAACATTCATGGCTGAGTGGAACACCTTATCCTTGCTGGTTTCACACTAAGTTTTAAATAAACTGTGCTTCTTTATCTAAATATCAGTCATTTCAAACAGTGCTTCTGAGTTTGGCTTGAGCTTTATTCCAGACAGCAGAGATAAAGACCTTACATTCCATTTACAGGTTTTACAACCTAAGTAAACATCAAATTAGCAAACAACATGGGAGCCTAGTCACCTTCTAAATTGATGCACTTATTTTTAACTCAGATCAATCAAATTTGCAATTTCCTACCTGTATCAAATTAACTTTCAGTTATTTATACCTTCATTCATCACTGTAGGATCCAAATTCTGTGACATAAAATATTTGACACTGTACTGCAATGAATAAGAGAACCACTTACAATGGAAAATGTCTTGAGATCAACTCTAATATTTCCTTCTTTCAATTTCTTCTTTAACAGTAATGCTTTTCTTAAAAATGTAAAATGAGCACCCCACCCAGACTGATACCCCTCTACCCTATCCCTATAACCCTGCATTTCCCATGGCTAACCCACCTAGCCTGCACATCCCTGGACACTGTGGGCAATTTAGCGTGGCCAATCCACCTAATTCAGGCAGTTATCATGAGGCTTTGCTATTGGGATAGGAAAGGGCTCCCATTCATTCTACGTCAATGTAATTGTTGCTGATTAAGTCTTCGCAGACAGGTTGTTTCCATGTTAATGGACTTGGAATGCAGAATGTTCAATAAGGCAGCTATTCAGCCATCTATGAGCCTGCAATTTTAAGATGCTGGAATGTGCTCTCAGATACTTTTAAAATTCAGTGATGGGTTTCCAGCCAGTAATTTCAAAAATTATTTTGATATAAAACACACAGTTTCACAACAGAGAAACAGAACTTTAAAAAAAACAGAAAACTAAACATTAATGAGAAATAAAAAAGTATGAAGTACTATGTTGAAAGAACTGAAAGTGTATTAAATAAATTAATTAGTTAAACTATGTCAAAGTCATCAGTTTGATATTCATTTGCTGTTTTTGATACTATGAAAATGTGTCTCACTTAGTGTGGGATGATCATATGGGTAATGTGTTGTGAGGTCTAGCACCTTCTAGTTCACTGTTAAAATATAAATCATAATAAAGTTGCAATGGGGTTGATAAATAAAATATTTTGTGAAATTACAGCAATGTGCAATTTCGCTTCATCTCTTTCACATAGCTAATAACTTCTGCACAACAAACTCAAAGTTCATTATGTAAAAAACTTTAATGTATTTCTGTACATACAAAAACAAAACAAACACTTTCAAAATGGAAAAATAATAGCTTCAACATTATTTACAAAATGTAACATAAATAGAATTTCTGCATAAAATATTTAGCTGTAAACATATGTTTAAAAACAGTAGAAACCGAGGCAAAATATATACTTTCAAAGTGCTAGTTAGCAATTTCTTTATTCTACAGTAAGATCTTTGTATAAGGCCCTGTTCCTGAAGTTTTTCCCTTTTATAAAGATATAAAACTAAAAAAAAAAACAACTGGAAACAACATTGCAAACCGATCAACTACTTTAGTTGGAGTAACAACAGCTCCCATGTTATGAAGTGCATAGAAAGTCCTCAGATTGTGAACCATTTATATTGCGTATGCTTGGGCATTTCCCGCCTAGTGGTTCAATGGCAGTTGGCATGGAGATTGTGGACAGGAGGCTAGTAAATAGCTCAACTCACGGCAAATCAGCATGGATATAAAGCTGATGGGTATATATGTGGTATGTATACCACATGGGTATATATGTGAACAGATCGAGGAAAGACAAAAAGAGAAAGTAGGCTGCATATAAGGCGTTGAGAAAAAAAGTGAGATTCAGATGCCATTTCTCTAGAATAGAGTAGTAAGCTACTCAGTCTGCTTTTAATTTCACCAGTTAACCTTTTTACCCCTCTCTCAGATTAGATAAAATCACATTTTGACAGAACAGCTAGAGGTATGTACCACATTGTCAGGTTACCTACAAAATCTTTTTCATTGTGAAATATGGGTGAATTGCTACTTTCCCGAAGAGCCAACATGCGACGAACTAACAACAGCTGTTTCCCAAACACTAAATGGCTGCCTGAGCCACACTAGGAAAGATCAAGGTTTCAGCTGATATATGACATTAGAACAACTCAGTTTCAGGTGCTCCCAGACTTGAAAGAGGGAAATCCAATTTGGTGACTTTTGCTGGAAATTCACAGGGAATATCAGATGAGTGAGGACTCAGGCTCTGAGAAAAAGGGACACTTGGGATTAGCACTGAACGGCTGCTGACACCTGATTTGAATCATTACACTCCAGGGCAAAGGGTAAGAAAGCGGTACTGGGAAAAAATAATGGCTCTGTAGATTTTCTGCAGATGACTATTTTGAAATCTGTAGTGCATTAATTTAGAATGAGTTAACTCATATTTTCTGCTTTAAAATATTGATAGGAAAGCCAAACATCTTAGTTATTGTGGATTTAAATGTAAGAAAACAACAGTAGAGCTTGGATAAGCACTGGCATCACAGTGAGTAAAAAGAATACTCTATGATGAGGTAAGAATTCCTCAATAAACCAGACGTAACCAAATGAGAAACCTGTTTATAAAAGAACAGCCCTACAATTTTGCATAAATTTCCCATATTCTCCAGATAGAGAGCACTGGAGAGAAATGACAAAATTAGTGAGGTTGACATTGATCATCTCCCAGATACTGATGCATAGTCAAGGAGTAATATTAGGAACAGTAGTACTCATATACTCAGAAATAACATGGCAATGTTGTTAAAAGAGACCTTATTAAAGAGAATGACAAGATTGAGAAGCTGAAATGAGGTATTGAGGATAGCATCAAAAAGTTAGGAAGGTGATGACATCATTGGAGAGGGCTGGAGGAAATGGAATTACAATCAAGATCAGTTAGAATCAGCACTTAACGTAAAAATGAATCACTTTGTTTTCTATAAGGCCTCCCAAGTTTATAATTATTTTTCACAGTTTCTGTTATCTAAGTGCCAGTGCGTACTACATGGGGGAGAAAGGGAAAGAAGTTATCAAGTCAGTCAATTAACAGTTTCAGGTGATACAAATAATAAACCACCATATGCATTAAGAATATTTTTAGTTATTGCATACAACTCCTGTAGCTTATTGTAACACACTGCATCGAATTCCATAGTAAAAAAAAGTCATCATACTCCATACCAAATCTAATTAATACTGTATAATTCATAGAAAATGAGAGCTGTATGTGGACTTATTTTTGTCCAAACAAAAAAAATCACAGTATTTCGGAATAAAAGTAACAGGATTATATTCACATCTTGCACTCTGTTTACTTCACAATTCACCTCATCCTACAGAAAACACATGCACAACAATGTCAAAAACACCATTAAAATGTCCAATGCTCCATTTAATGAAAAAGCATTAAAGCTATGAAAAAAAATCAATTAATTATCAATTATAAAGCCATGGGCATAATCAATTTCCATTCTCAAAGGTGCACTGTGCCACAGCATACATAGATGCATCAGCACATGGTACCACAAAATTGGAAGTTTTAATACCATATTGAAACCCCAATCTTTAACAATGATGTCAGGAGAAGCACTCACTAGGTGCCAGGTGACTTCTCATCGAGGAAGAGAAAATGAGACAGTTATTCTTGGGTGCTTTTTTTTGACCAGTTACCAGCCAGACAGATAAGTATCTGCTCTGGCACCCAACTTGTGGACTGGGAAAGAGATAAGATTTGTGGATGAGATTTCAAAGACACCCTCTTCACATTCAATACACATAAATGTGGAATTTAATATAGACAAATTGAGGTCTTACTGCCAAGAGCCCAGCAACAACTCTTTTCAGGAATGCCTGTGGAACAATATGCCAGTCAGGCTCTTGACCAGGTAACAGCGGCAGTTGCTGGGATCAAGGACCCTGGAGAGGAAAGGCTCACCCCACGAGAGCTGGTGGATAGTCAGAGGCCAACAGCTCTAAATTGCTGAGCAGAGCCAATTGGGAGATCGTAGCTGCAGCTGCTACAACCTCAATGCAAGGCCCAGGATTGCTTGATAACCCAGATCACAAGTGAGTGATTGTAAAGTGCGGGGCGCAGGGGAGGGAGGAGTTGCTGGAAGTGAGAAGACTGTGGTTCAGCATGCAGCCAGGGTGATGGTTTTCAGGAAGCACCCTCCCACCTCTTGCAAGGTCCCTCAATCAAGCATTGACTTTGAAAGAGGAAACCTGCAAACAAATCTCAACAGTGTTTGTGTTCTGGGCTTCTCATATGGTGGGTTTCCTGCCTGATGCTAGGTTAATACCGATGGCAACTGGATAAGGTCCTTGCATGTTTTCATTGGCATTTTTAACTATCAGCTGGTGACACATTCCCCTCACAGAAGTAATTGCCCTGGAGGCAGAAAGGAGGCAGGATCCCCCTCCTACCTGAATAAATACCCTCCTCACCAACATATGTGCCACAAAGATGGCATCAAATACCAACCAAGTTAGCTGTTCCTTGAACATAGTGCTAATTCTGTATTTCCAGGGTGTTTCTGGACCAAAGTGGTCTGACATCTTGTTTAACTTTTAGGCCACAATGCTTAACTACATGAAGATTAATGTTTTCACTACTGAATGACCAGCTCTGTTCAGAACTGTTCTGAAGAATGGCCACTGGACCCAAAACGTTAACATTGCTTTCTCTCCACAGATGCTGCCAGTCCTGCTGAGAGTTTCCAGCAATTTCTGGTTTCTATATGGATTCTTTTTTGTTTTCTAATTTATTAATTTTCTCACCACTAACTTTTCCTCTAAGTAATAGTTTACAGTGTCTTCCAGAATTGAGCATAAATTTGCCTATAATTCTGTTTTGATTTCAAAAGATTTTGAAGGGTGAAAGAGATCTTCCCAGGCTGAACTTATTGAGGACATTTATTACTTACAATGGAGGTTGGCATACAATTAGGTATGAACACAGTCCAGTGAATCTAAATTGACAGCTGGGTATTGGAACTCAAAATAATAACTGTCACCTTTGTTCCATTTTATCAGTAATTTTATTATTGCTCGCAGTCCACAATCATCCCAATGGGGCACATTAAGAACCATTCAACTGGACACAGAATTTTTCTCTTCCCTGTCAAATAATTTTTCCAATGTTTCACCCCTTCTCTCAGGAAGGAGGCATTTCATTCAACTGGACTGTCCTGTCGCCATCCACCAACCACTGGATCTCTGCTAATAAAGTATTTTTATATGTAAATTTGATACAAGATATTATCCATAGTGGAGAAAAGGAAAACCACAGCTAAGCCTAACATCTGAATGTAAGTATCTTCCACTTCAATAACATTCAGGAGTCAGAACACTGATTAATTTTTCTTATTAGGTCGATGCACTGAGATAAATTGTAAAGCCTCTATCTCTAATCTATCTGACAATAGCTGATTCAGCAATACTGAGAATTAAATCACAAACTTTTGTGGTCAGTAGAGTTAAATTTCACACCAGATGTTTGCCCTAGAAAAGTTTGAAACTTGAATTTAGAGTAAAACACATTGATTTGAATATGTACTGTATTACAATCAATATGAAGCTATTTAGTTTTGTCATAACTGGCGGAATTTAATGCCCTCTCTCCCTCAGGTTTAGTGGGGTGGCGATGGGGGGGGTTGTTGGATATGTCATGTAATCAGGTGGGAGGGACACAGTGAGAAACAATCATGTTTCCACCTCCATTCTGATAATGTTTGAAGTGGGAGCTGTGGTGGTCCTTTTCATTTCTATTCTGTTGCCAATTGACATCCGCAAGTGAGCAATTAATAAGGGCCTTATCCAGCTGACATTTGTATTAATCTAGAGGCATATTGCGGATCCACCATCTAGGCTCCACGTGGAGGGGTATGGTCACTCCTTCAAAGGCACTTGCATTGAAGTAGCTGGCATTGGGTAGTGCAGGGCAGCTCAGATACACTCTGCCCTTTGTTTCTCTCTCCTGTGATCGCCATCCTGTCACACCAACCACACAATCACTCACGTGCCCTGGGATTCAGTATTGGTACTTGAACTGGGTTGGTGTCATGGAAGCAGGCACTAATTCCATGGTTTCTGAAGAAGGGTCTAGGCCCGAAACATCAGCTTTCCTGCTCCTGTGATGCTGCTTGGCCTGCTGTGTTCATCCAGCTCTACACCTTGTTATCTCAGATTCTCCAGCATCTGCAGTTCCTACTATCACTAATTCCATGGTGGTGCCTTTGATTGGCTGACGGCTTTCACTGGGCAGAGTTTCACCCTGAGGTCCTTGATCCCAGTAAAGTGCCCGAGTGACAATTAGTCAGTGGACCTCTGCAAAAGTTGACAAAGTAGGGCTTGTGAAACCCCGTTTGGCTTCATTAAATCCAGCCCCAGATTCCAATTAACAAAATAAAATAATCAAAGTAAATACCTTTAAATTAATCATACTTGTTGCGGGTTGGTTCTACCTTCAGTAGTTTTAGATGAGAAACACTAACGGCAAGCAAATTTTCATACATTCCATATTATTACATAACAACATCCTTCAATAAAACAACAAAGCTTCATTCATGGCTCATTTTTTTTTCATATGTTAGCTGCAATTTTGCTTTATGGCTCTCTAATAGAAGAGCATGGGACTGTAACAAAGCAGTATTACAGTCAATGCTCATATTGCTACAAGATAAACACATTGTCACTGAGTTATACAGTTGTCACCCATATCCTGAGCATATCGATCTGATATTATGGTCCTTAATTCGTCAATATCTTTCCGTAATTGACAAACGTCAGATAGCATTTTTGAAAGCAATTCTCCACTATGGGAATTCTCTCCTTCATCGCCTGAACAGTGCAGCGCTGTTAATGAAACAGAGAAAAAGTTAAATAATACAGAAATCACACAATAAGACTTCTTTACGTGTTATGTGTGTCAAATGGTAGTTGTGTGAGTAATTGTTATTTTCCACATGATAGTCCGAGCTTTGTGTTGTGTAGTGAAAACAAAAAATCAAACTTTAAATCTTTGTTCAAAGGTATTTAGCAAAAATACCAGGTGGCCAGTGGGGGAAGAAAATGTAGCAAATTGAAAGGATCTGGATTCACTGCTGTCATGGATGGTGAAAGCAGATTCAATATTAATGTTCAAATATGGAAACAACAATTTCGTGGATTATGGGGAAAAGATCAGAAACTAATGAAACAGCTTTTACAAATGACCATGTGGAGTGCTGCATCATTCTATAAATTCCATGGATTGTATTTTCTAGGCTTTCAAAGTCAGATAGGAATATAGGAAGGCTGGCAAAATAACAGTTATGGCCTGGGGGACAGGAAGAGGGGCTATGATATTCTATGTCTTCCTGCAAACAAGCCATTTTGTCGTCGACGGCAGGAAGGCCACTGAGCCACTTAAATGACCAATGAAGCCAGGCCATGTCCTGCCTTCATCGATCAGTGAAGGAGTATGGAGCTTGCTGCTGTTTGGGAACTTTTTCAGCTAAATCCTGATTACCTTCCAGTGGGCTTCATACAGGTCGTCCTTTTCCGGCTACTCTACGTGCATGGATGTCTTGCCGGCCATCTGCTCAGCAACCATCAGTTCTCTGAGGCCTGAACTCAACCTGGTTCTCAGAACCCTGTGTGTCTGGAGCTGGCATCTCCTGACCCCACTTAGCCCTCCCTGAGGCGCTTGGCCAGCAAGCTCCCCTCGTCCTGCAGCTGCTGCCTCAGCAATGACCATGGCTAGAGATGGCACTTTTGAAACTGCCTTGTTACTGCTCCTCTGATAGAGTGGGCAGCTCTCGTGTGGGGCACTACCTTCCTTATTAGGAATAACAGTCGTAGCAGTGGTCACTTAATTGGCCATCACCAGGAATGTGCTTCTCTGGATCTCACCCCTTCCCTAACTGGGGTGACCTCCTGTTTTTGGATCCAATGGTAGGACCTTAGCTGTCTCAGTAAAATTTAATGCTACAATATCTGTAATAACATACTGTTCCACAGATTAATAAGAACTTTGTTTTGGCTTGTAACACATGCAATGAAGTGACAGCAATGTGACTTAATCCAAAACTCAGACAAGCAGCATCTACAGCACAAGTGTTAAATTCTTTTACTATAGCTCTGTTCCTTGCAGACAACGATAGACTGTCTATTATTGTAGAACGTCAGGATAAATTAATTGAGTTGATCATCTCTAATTGGATCCATTACAGTGGCAAGACAGAAAGGACTTTCATCCCATTAGTGTGCAATGGACTCATGTCGAGTCCCAGAGGCAAAAGACAAAGTTAAAAGTGAAACCAAGGAAAAGTAACAGTACATTAACCCATGGCATAAATGGACAGAGCTGATGGGGTGCCTGTATTTCCACAGTCCCAGTGTGTTTACTGGAATGGGCCTGAAATCAAACATAATAAATTATCCCATTGGGAACACCCAGCGTGGGTTCATGAAGGGTAGGTCATGTTTAATTAATTTGGTGGAATTCTTTGAGGACATTACTTGCATGGTGGACAATGGGGAACCTGTGGATGTGGTGTATCTGGATTTCCAGAAGGCATTTGACAAGGTGCCACACCAAAGGCTGCTACATAAGATAAAGTTGCACAGTATTACAGGTAATGTATTGGCATGGATAGAGGATTGGTTGACCTGTAGAAAGCAAAGAGTAGGGGTAAATGGGTGTTTTTCTGGTTGGCGGTCAGTGGCTAGTGGTGTGCCTCAGAGATCAGTGTTGGGACCTCAGTTGTTTACAATTTACATAGATGATTTGGAGTTGGGGACTAAGTGTGGTGTGTCAAAATTTGCAGATGACACTAAGGTGAGTGGTAGAGCAAAGTGTGCAGAAGACACTGAAAGTCTGCAGAGGGATATAGATAGTCTAAGTGAGTGGGCAAAGGTCTGGCAGATGGAGTACAATGTTGATAAGTGTGAGGTCATCCATTTTGGTAGGAATAACAGCAAAATGGACTATGTTTTAAATGGTAAAAAATTGCAGCACGCTGCTGTGCAGAGGGACTTGGGTATCCTTGTGCATGAATCGCTGAAGGTGGGATTGCAGGTGCAGCAGGTGATTAAAAAGGCAAATGGAATTTTGTCTGCCATTGCTCAAGGGATGGAGTTTAAAAACAGGGAGGCTATGCTGCAGCTGTATAGGATCCTGATGAGGCCACACCTGGAGTACGGTGTGCAGTTTTGGTCTCCTTACCTGAGAAGAGATATACTAGCACTGGAGGGGGTGCAGAGGAGATTCACTCGGTTGATTTCAGAGTTGAGAGGGTTGGATTATGAGGAGAGAATGAGTAGACTGGGCTTATACACATTGGAATTCAGAAGAATGAGGGGAGATCTTATAGAAACCTATAAGATTATGAAGGGAATAGATAAAGTGGAGGCAGGGAGGTTGTTTCCGCTAGCAGGTGAAACTCGGACTAGAGGGCATCGCCTCAAAATAAAGGGAAGCAGATGTAGGACTGAGGTCAGGAGGAACTTCTTCACCCAAAGGGTTGTGAATCTGTGGAATTCCCTGCCCAGTGAACCGGTTGAAGCTACCTCACTGAATGTTTTTAATGCAAGGCTAGATAAATTTTTGAAAAGTAAAGGAATGAAGAGTTATGGTGAGTGGGCGGGTAAGTGGAGCTGAGTCTCAAAAAGATCAGCCATGATCTTATTAAATGGTGGGGCAGGCTCAAGGGGCCAGATGGCCTACTCCTGCTCCTAGTTCTTATGTTCTTAAATTAAATGGCTTAAGTCATCACCATGCCCCAAAAACACATGCAACATTTTGAAGGCACCTACAATTTATACACCTCTGCTTTCCTGATCCTCTTAAAAGGCCAGAGGAAGTTCAGAATCATCTGTCTTGAGTGACTTTATGCAACCAGAAAGAGTCACTTTCATTAACCAAGCAGGCTTCTTGGCGGCCATTTGAAACCTAATAGTATACGGTGGCAGCATTGTCAATACAACTCATTCCTTTACATTGTGTAAATAAATAATTTTGTCTCTTCCAGTTTGTTGAATGGTCATGCATATGCCAACTAAATTTCAATATATTTAAATGTGAACGGGTACATTTTCATAGGAATAGCAAAGCCACATATCCTTGGAATACAATGTGAGGGATGATGGAGCAAAGGATTCTGAGGGCATGGATACATAAATAGAGACACAGGCTAATAAGAATCTAAACCAAACAATGCATTGAGATTCATTTCTAAGCAAACAGAAATGAATAGTAGGGAAATTATATTAAACTGGTACACAATTTGGATTAGATCATGACTAGAATATTGTACACGGTTCTCAGTTTGATACCAGATAAAGGGCATAGAAACACCGAGGAAGGTACAACGACAATTAACAATGTAGATACCAAAATTAAGAGTTTATAATTATCACAGAAGATTGTAAAGGCTGAGGGTCCTCTTTCTAGAAAAGGATAAAGAGTCTGCAGTGTAAATTCTGTGAAATTCTATGAAATTCGAGTTCCTATTTGCTGCCACTCTGGATTTTTCTAGAAAATATGTGAAGTGTAAAGGGGCCCAGTGATTGTCACCTTTTACTTTCTGTGCTATGCATTCTTAGAATAGGCTTAGCTCCTGCCATTTAACTATGAATAATAATAGAAAATCAAACTGCGATAAAAAATTAGACTTGTCATGGTGACTGAAGTATGCCAACAGGGCCTAGTCTAATTATCTTCTGCCCTCTAGCCTTGAATCTACTAAATACTACCCTCAATCTGAACTCACCGTCTGTAAAACTATGAGGTCAAGAAGTAAGCTCAAAAGTATGCTTACACTGTATCCCGAGTAACAAAGAAAGATTTGGCTCCTTGCCCTCTGCCCTCTGAGTAAGGATATTGCATAGTGCACGTAGGTCATGCAGACAGTAGGACATTTCTTTCAGTAGCTTTTCAATGGCTGGCATTTCATCTGCTAAGTTTTGCTTGGGCGCTTCAGTTCCTTGTGGTTGTTCCTCAAAAGTTGAATTTTCTGGTAATCTTTGGTTCTTTGATGAAAACTTCAAAGACATGAAAAAGTACTTTACATGTAGGCATCATAGAAAAATTACAGCACAGAAAATTATTAGATATTTTGAATTTATTGCTGCTGATTTTTTTTTTTAATTACAGTTTGACTAACATCCTTTTATCCTTAGTTAATGGGATGTGGACAAGCTCAGGGTATTTATTGTCCATACTTAACTGCCCATGGGCAATGGTGGCAGGTGGTGGTGAGCTGTTTTCTTGAATTGTACTTTTGGGAGGGGAGTTGCTGGATTTTGACCAAGTGACATTGAAGGAATGTTGCTAAAGTTCCACAAAATGTTGGGGTGTGATCTCACAGAATCACAGAAGAATCGTAATAGTGCAGGATGGCGCCATTTTCCCATTCTCCAACCGAGTATCCCATTAATTCTATTCTCCTTTAATCCCTCCATCTTGCTGTATATTGTTCCTTACTAAATAACTGTCCAATACCTTCTGATTGCCTTGATTGAACCTGTCTCCACCACACTCTCAGGCAGTGTACTTCAAACTCTAATTACTTGCTGCATGAAAAAGTTTTACCTCACATCATTTTTACCTCTTTTACTAATTCCTATAAATCTGGGCCCTCTCTTTCTTGATCCCCTCACAAGTGAGAATATTTTATCTGTCGAAATGTCTCACGATTTTGAATAGTTGGAACAGAACTTGCAGACGGTGGTGTTCCCATACATCTGCTCCCCTTGTCCTTCTGAGTAGTGAAGGACACAGGTTTAGAAAGTCATGGTGCAGGAGCCTTGGTGAGTTGCTGCAGTGTATCTTGTCCTCCTTTTTCTTATTTTAGCTGCTTTGAGTTAAAGAGCAAAATTCAATAAGTATTGAGGCATTTGTGTAGATGGACAGCCAAATCTTTTTGTTCTAATTTACCGTGCTTCTTATTGACAGGTGCAAACTTGGCCACACAATGCTCTATTCTATCATAACAACATGGTGATAAATGTGTATAAATACTGTGATAAATGTGTATAAATATGTATACTACATGTTGAATTTGGATTTCAAAATAGAGGCACATGGATGTGGTCAGTCCTGTCAAGGTTGTTTTTAAAAAATCAAGAAGTTAATTTGAAGTAGTGGTCCAAAACTATCATTCCAACAAAGCGTGTGGATGGAATAGAGTGGCTGGGAGAACACTGTAGTGTTGATGGATAAAAGTTTTGGGGTAAACCATTATCTTTGGGAAAAGGGAGTTAAGTCGCATGGTCAGGACATCAATATGCCTTTAAGAGACATCCATCACTGTACCATAGCATATAACCTGAGGGCATAAAGAGTTCACACTCCATCTTACTTCTTAAATTAAGCGTTGCCACATCAGATAAAACACTTTGTTGGAGGCAAGTGCACACCCTCATTCTCAACTATAAGCTGGCCCTTGTCTGCTGTCATGCAGGCTTCAACTGGTACCTTTGCTCTTGACTATTCTTCGATTTGCTGTATGCTAATAAATGTTCACACTATTCCTCTTTTACATGACACTGATTTTTCTTTTTAAATACCTTCTCAATCAATTTTTTGATCCTCTTCTACCGGTTTTGTATTTCTCATCTTTTGTATTATTAGTCTTCATTTATTACACTCTGTCCAACCAATTTTTTGCTTTAAACTTTCTAGTTATCAATGGAAATGCAGCTTTCGTCACACTGTTTACTTAAAAGCAAAATGTGTTTAAATAACTCACACTACTGCTCTGCAATTTTCTAAACCAAATAATCTGGATAAACTCTTCATTGTCAAATATTTATAATGTACAAAATTGGTCATGTCCTTCAGTATCATCTTCAAATGACTAAATGTCTGATGCTCACCTGTCACTATGCTGTGAATCTATACTTATTGCTGCATGTGAGCTGCAATTTATACCTAATTATCTATCACAGTTACCATTTTTCAAAGCAGAGTACTCTAAACTCTGCTTATCCACTAAATTAGTGTACTAAACTGTCAATGTTCTTCAATTTATTGATCTGCAGGCTCCACTGAGGCTTCAATTCTCCATAGTCTAGAAAGAATAAGAACTTATTCTTTACTAAAGTCAATAACTCCTGCCAAAAGGTTCAAAAACACAACTCTATCAAGTTTTAGTTCTTAATACTGAAATGTTTTAATTACTATGGTTTGCAATTGTCAGAAGTATTTTAATTAAAATTAGAAAAATTCATTATGTTTTATTGATGCCAAAGGATTTGGAGGTGGCCCCTTCCAATCAATACCTTCTGATTACTTACATTTGGTGTCACAAGCTCTGGGTTACATTGAAGAATGTTAGATACACTGACTCTGTCTGCAATTATGAATTAAGATGTCTGGTGTTCAGTTATGGCTAGGCTAGCACCATCAACAGGGAAATATGTAGACCCCATATAAAAAGAAAGCAGCTGAATCAATGTTATCTAATTTTTCAATAATAACATTTCAAAATAAAATTAATATGAAATCATAACTGGCCTCACTAATCCATTGCTCCCTTCATAATGACTAATTTGTCAGAAAGATCTATACACAGTGAAGTTTATTGTCTTCTATTTTATGGTTGAAGCAAGGAAGTATATGTCTTGGCTGTTTTAGCGGTTATTACTTTTCGGAAATTGCAACATCAACTCGGTTCTATTATTAATGCTGTAATCTTTAAGGGCTCATGGACGATGATTGGTAGAAACATTTTTGTCTTTGACTTTTACGCAAAATTCTGCTGTTTCACATTTTTCTCTTAAGTAAGAATTCCGTATTTAATCTATTGTATTTGATTTCTTCATAGATACATTCCTAAATCTACTCCACATATTTTATTTTACTTTTGATGTGAAGGCCAACTTCAATTAAAGAGCAACAGCATTTGTTTTAATCTGGGATGGGTTTCATTGCTATTCGCCTTAATTTTAAAATTTGTATCCCTTTGTTTTCAAAACCTTTCCAGGCTCTATCCATCCCTATTTCTCGAATCTCCTCACACCTGACAAGTCTTGAAAAATTTTTGTGCTCTTTCACTTCCAGCGTCTTGTGCTGATTTTTCAATCCAGTACTGGTGGCTGTGTTTCAGTTGTCTTCACTGTAAAGTTCCTTCCTAATCTCACTATATCACTCTCCTCCTTCAAGATATTCCTTCATACTTACTAAATTGAACAGGTTTTAGGCCATCTCCTCTGACTCCGTGCCAAAAATGCTTTAGTGATGGTACACTCGTTAAGTGTGATGGGATGTTTTGCTATGTTAAGGGCATTATGCGAATTAAAGTTGTTATCGTTTACTTTTCACAATAATACTACCATAATGCAAATGAAGCACATTGCAGAGGTCACGTTTACTCACTTCTTCCATGAGTTCCTTCAGTAGCTGCAGATTTCTCTGAGTCTCTCCAAGCTCCTTCCGGAAGGTCTGCGAGGCAGACTTTTCTTGCATCAACCTTTCCTCTAAAGCCTTCAAAATATATTACAAGTTGATGAGCATCTGATTAACCAAATAACTCATCACTTTGTTTCAGGTACTTTGAAGTTCGCTTGTCAGTAGACAGAAGTTTACGTTAGGATAAGAAGGCCAATCCTCTTACAGAGTCATAGAGTTATGCAGCACAGAAACAGACCCTTCGGTCCAACTCATCCACGCTTGTCAAGATATCCTAAACTGATCTATTCCCATTTGCCAGCATTTCTCCCATATCCGTCTAAACCCTTCCTATTCATATACCCATCCAGATACCTTTTAAATGTAATTGCACCCATCTGACCACTTCCTCTGGCAGCTGGTTCCATACACACACCACCCTCTGTATGAAAAGGTTGCCCCTCAGGACCCTTTCAAATATTTCACCTCTCATCTTAAACCTATGCCCTCTAGTTTTGGACTCCATTACCCTGGGAAGACAACCTTGGTTATTCACCCTATCCATGCCTGTCATGATTTTATAAATCTGTATAAGGTCAGCCCTTACTAATCCCTATAAGGCCACCCCTCAGCCTCTGATGCCTCCAGGGAAAAAAAAACCCAGCCCATCTCCCAGCCTATTCAGCCTCTCCCTAAAGTTCAAACCCTCCAATCCCAGCAACATCCTTGCAAATCTTTTCTGAACCCTTTCAAGTTTAACATCTTTCATGTAGCAGGGAGATCAGAGCTGAATGCAATATTCCAAAAGTGGCCTCACTAGTGACCTTCACTGTTGTAACATGACGTCCCAACTCCTACACTCAGTGCACTGACCAATAAAGGCAAGTGTGCCTAATGCCTTCATCACCACACTATCTACCTGTGACTCCACTTTCAAGGAATTATGCACCTGTACCCCTAGGTCCCTTTGTTTGGTAACACATCCCAGGGCCCTACCATTAACTGTATAAGTCCTGCCCTGGTTTGCCTTACCAAATGCAACACCTCACATTTATCAAAATTAATCTCCATCTGTCACTCCTCGGCCCAATGGCTCATTCGATCAAGGTACTGTTGTACTCTGAGATAACCTTCTTCACTGTCCACTACACCACCAATTTTTGTGTCATCTGCAAATTTACTAATTATATCTCCTATATTCACATCCAAATCATTTACATAAATTACAAAAAGCAGTGGACCTAGCACCAATCCTTACGGCTCACCACTAGTCACAGGCCTCCAGACTGAGAAACAATTTCCCACCACCACCCTCTGTCTCCTATGCTCACATAAATTTTCTATCCAACTGGCAATCTCACCCTGGATTCCGTGTAATCCAATCTTGCTGACCAGTCTAGCATGCGGAACCTTATCAAACGCCTTGCTGAAGTCCATAAAGACAATGTCTACAGCTCTGCCTTCACCAATCTTCTTTGTAAATTCTTCAAAAAACTCAATCAAGTTAGAGAGACACACATAAAGCCATGTAGACTATCCCTAATCAGTACTAGCCTTTCTAAATGCATATAAATCCTGTCCCTCGGAATCCCTCCAATAACTTAACCACCACTGACATCAGGCTCACCCATCTTGAATCATAGAATCCCTACAGTGTGGAAGCAGGTCATTTGGCCCATCGAGTCCATACCAACTCTCTGAAGAGCATCCCACCCAGACCCACACCCCTACCTATACCTGTAACCCTGCATTTCCCATGGCTAATCGACCCAGCCTGCACATCCCTGGACTTGCTCTATAGTTCCCTGGCTTCTCCTTACCACCTTTCTTAAATAGTGGCACCATGGTAGCCACTTTCCAGTCTTCCGGCACCTCACCTGTGGCTATCAATGATACAAATATCTCAGCAAGGGGCCCAGCAATCATTTCCCTAACTTCCCAGGAAGTTCTGGGATACACCTGATCAGGTCCTGGGGATTTATTCTCATTTATGCATTTTAAGACATCTAGCACCCCCTCTTCAGTAATATGGACACTTTTCAAGATATCACTATTTATTTCTCTAAGTTCTCTTGCTTCGATATCCTTCTCCACAGTAAATACTGATGTGAAATGCTTGTTTAGTATTTCACTCATCTCCTGTGGTTCCACACATAGATGGCCTTGTTGATCTTTAAGGAGCCCAATTTTCTCCCTAGTTAATCTTTTGCCCTTAATGTATTTGTAGAATCTCTTTGGATTCTCCTTAATCCTGTCTGCCAAGGCTATGTTCCTGTTTTGCCCTCCTGATTTCCCTCCTAAGTATACTCCTACTGCCCTTATACTCCTCTAGAGATTCACTCATTCCAAGCTGAGCAATCCAGGGGATGGCACAGTGGCTCAATGGTTAGTACTGCTGCCTCCCAACACCAAGGACCTGGGTTTGATTCCAGCCTTGGGCAAACTCCACACAGACATTCTCCCTGTGGCTGTGTGGTTTCCTCCCATAGTCCAAAGATTTGCAGGCTAGGTGGACTTGCCATGCTAAACTGCCCATAGTGGGAAATGTAGGGATTGGGTCTGGGTGCTGTGCACTTCAGAGGGTCAATGGGCCAAATGGCCTGTCTCCACACTGTCAGGATTCTATGATCTTACATATGTCTCCATCTTTCTCTTGACCAAAGCCTCAATTTTTCTAGTCATCCAGCATTCCCTACACCTACCAGCCTTGCCCTTTGCCCTTTGCACTCTCATTTTTAAAGGCCTCGCACTTTTCAAAGTCCCTTTACCTGCGAATAGCTTCTCCCAATCAACTTTTAGAATTTGTTTCTATACTGAACATTAGTCAGATATTATAAAATGAAAACATATGAATGGTCTACCCAGCCGGTTCAGGCAGTGAGCAGCTGAACTGCATTGACCATGAATTGCCTAAGGTTACCTCTTATAAGTGCTGCATTACCTGGGTTTAGCTGTAAAGTGGAAAGCGTGTTCATTTGTATTTGAAAGTTGACGTAATAGAACTGACATTGTATCCCTACTTGTCAATTACTGTTTTTGCGAAAAAAAAAACTGGACGGCCAATTCCCAGGGCCATTTGAAAATCATATCAAATGGAGTTAGGATGTCCAAAGAATGGGTCACGTGCCTTCTTATAAAGGCCAGGCAGATTTTCCCTTCTGAGACCATGTTAACTGCTGCTCACTAGTTTAGTGCTGTAAAAATATACTCCAATTGTTCATAACAATTATCTAACACTTTACGTAGAATTAGGGTAAGATTATTGGCACTGACAGCATCTGTTTTGATACCTTTGCTGAATATGAGCATTAGTTTGCAAATAATTATTACCTCCCCGCAATAATACAAAACAAAGAACTGTGGATGCTGGAAATCTGAACATAAACAGAAGTTGTTGGAGAAACTCAGCAGGTCTGGCAGCATCTGTGGGCAGAAAGCAGAGTTAATGTTTTGAGTCTGGTGACCTATCCCCAGTGCCTGTTTCTAACTCTCAATGATTGTGAGTGTTGCCCAAATCACTTCTTTCTAAGCATTCTGAGCTTGATACTCTTTAATCCTGTTATTCACTATATTTAAGCCTTTCAATTTATATTGAACACATTAAGTTTGGCTTTAGTAATTCTCAAGAGAGCATGTTGTACATAGTTACCTTTGTAAATATTTGGTGAAAGTAATCATTCCTAATGTTTAGTGATCTTTGTTCACTTGGACTTTTGTGCAATTGCACCTGACACTCCTGAAGCCCTCTTACTCTATTATAATTCTAAGACTTTTTGTTGCCTTTTTTTTACTATCCTGCCAAATCCCTACGTCATTTATGTCTTTAAGGAACCCTAAATTTCAACCATATAGCACTGTAAACAAGACCTAATTTTGATGAGCATGTTTATCATTGCATTTGATACCTCTATTTATAATATCCAGAATGTCATTCTTCCTTTTATGTTTTTGTCTTCACTTATGAGCACTTTTATATATTGGACTCCAAAGTCCTTCCGTTCTTCTACAATGTGCAACAGTTTCAATTTTGCCTGAACCCCCAAGTTGAAGCTAAAGAGTGAGGCATGAATGACGATTGAACATATAGAATCATTCCAATAAGATGTTTACTCCCAAAACAAAAACAAAAATAAAGATGGAAAGAAATTGAGGCTCAAATTCTGCCATTATTTTTGTGGAGTCCACTGGTGTTTCAGTGGGATTCAACCAGGATTGTTAAAAAATATTTTGAGACTCTGAAAGACAGCTTTTTAAATTGGTAATTCTATCATAAGGTCTGACTTTGCTTCACCACGGAAGACTACAAAGATAATGGGATGTGCACTCCAGCTCCCTGTAGGTATGTAGGTCGGTGTAACCGTCCAACACCTTGTGGAAATGGGTTTGATATGGAGAATTGAGGCCTGGATCTCCAAAGATAGAGAGAGTGCATTTTTAAAATTTACAAGCATCTTGCTGGTAATTTTCCAGGCACCTGTTTCCCTGCCAAGTAGGTTTCATCTGGAGTTTTAGCCTTTTTGAAAGACTGGCATCATGTGCCTTCTATCTGACATGTCTCACAAGATGCTTTTCGGGCGACCGTTTCTAAATTCCCAACGATAACATTTATAAATTTCCAGTGCATTTATATGTATTGATATTTTGTTCATTCATGGGATGTGGACACACATAGGTTGGCAATTACTGGGTCAGCATTGGGTTTTCCCATGAATCTGCTGTCCTTATCCTTCTAGGTAGTAGCACTGGATGATGATATCAAAAGAGCCTTTGTGAGTTGTTGCAGTCCATTGTGTCAACGGTACACAATGGGATGAATAGACACTAATGATAATGGATTGGCTGCTGATCAAGCAGGCTCCTTTGTCCTGGATGGTGTGAAGCTTCCTGGTTGCTGCAGGAGTTGCACTCATTCAGTGAGGTGGAAAATATTCCATCACATTCCTGACTTGTGCCTTATAGATGGTGAACTGACTCTGGGGAGTCATTGGAGAACTTAGAGCTTTCAACCTGCTTTTGTAACCACGGGACTTTTAATACTTTTACTGTCCAGTACAGTTTCTGATCATTGACAATACCCAATGGATAATGGGATATTTGGTGACAGCAAGCATCTCAATGATGGATGGTTCGAGCCTCTCTTTTCGGAGCTGGTCATTGCCTGTCACTTCGGTGTCATGAATTTTATTTGCCACTGATAAGCCCATGCCTAATGCCCAAAGTGGTCCAAGTTTAGGGAAGTGAATAAGGTTGCTTCAGTATCTAAGGAATCGCAAATGGTACTGACCATCGTGAAATCATCAGCCACTTCTAGCCTCTTAATGCAGGGTAGGTATTGATGAAACAGCTGAAGATGTTTTGGTTTAGGATATTACCTTTGGACCACAGGAAGCCCGAGTTCAAGTCCCACCTGCTCCAGAAGTGTGTAAGAACATCCCGAACAGGATGATTAGAATATATCTAGCATGTTGAACACCCGGAACAATGTTGAACTGAAATAATTGGCCTCTAGTAATGACAACCAGCCTCTTTTGTGCTTGATCTGAGGTAGCCAGTGGAGAGTTTTTTTCTCCCCAGGATGCCATTGATTTTGATTTAAATTCTGCACTCTGTCAAATGCTACCTTGATGTCAAAGGGAGTCTCTCTTACTTCACCTCTTGAGTTCAGGTCTTTCATTCATGCTTGGATCAAGATTCCACTGATGTCAAGGATAAACTGGCCCTGGCAGAACTCAAATTGAGTATCTGTGAGCATGTCATTGCAGTGTAAACATCATTTATATTTATTATATATAAAGTATGGTTTCTATAGTGACAAGGAAGTGAAAATCAGCACTTTTCATGCCTTTTTCATAGATCTCTTCACTAGTGCACACTTTCCTATTGCAGAAAAAATAATTTACCTGTTTCTCCAGGTTACATTTTTTTATTTGCTGCTCTTGATTGTCAATGACCTGCAGACAAAAGCAAAACAAAATCAAAAGCTATGCATCAATGCAGTGACTCCAGTCCAAAAACTGAGATTTAACACTCATTTCATCATGTCTATAGTTTATGCTGTTGTAAAGCCTCACACTTCACCAATTGCAGTAGATTTGTGCTGTTTGGCTTCAATGAACTATGATGAGCAAGCAGACATGTATAAACATAGACTATCAGGAGGTAAAGATGCAGTTTTCTGAGAAGCCAATCTTACATGCTACTGGCCCAATGCCAGCACATTTCAAGTTATTCCCTTCTAGTAATTTCTCAAATAAGGGGAAAGAGAAGACAAAGGAAATTGAGAGAAGGAAAAGTAAGAGAAGCTATGGCAAAGGCAGGAAGGAAAGAAGGATATTGGACAATTTGAAAAAGGAACAGAAAAGAGGAGAACAAGGGACATATATTGGTACAGATCGGTAAAATGTTACAACAGATAGAATGAACCACATATTGAATTGGAAGTGTGAGGAACATCAGAGACAAAGGGACAATGGGATAAGAAGGGAATGAAATCAGAAACAAACACAAAGGGTAAAGAGCCTCATTTAGACACAAATCATAAACAAGGAAATAAAGGGCACAGATGCCAAGGAAGCGAGAAAGGTATAAAGACAAAGGGAAAAAGGTGAGAATGAGCCAGGTTGTTGGTGTTGCTGGTGTCTGAAGTCTAATATTGCCATGAAATCAGGCACAGGTGAATGATGGTGGGAGGGGAGATCAGGCTGGATTAGTGAGGCAAGGGAGGGTGCGTGGTTAGCACCATGTGCATGGGTGTGGCTCTCAGTGAGATCCTCATTCCCAAAATCAGCTCCTTCAATCAAACACTGAATGCTTTTGAATGATAGACTGAGCACAGGAATCTGCAAACAACCCCAGCAGATCAGGGTTTCTGCATAGCCACCTATGGCACTGTACTCAAAGGGTAGCGAAAATATGGACCTCTGTTCCTAAAGAAAACCTGGAGAAGTTGCGTACATTGAAATTCTTAAATGTGGGCTCGAGAAGTTAGGGATTTTATCACGGAAAACAATTGTGAACTTTTTATAAAACCTGTTGAAGTAGTAAATAAAAACCAAAAGAATTGCGGATGCTGTAAATCAGAAACAAAGCCATAAATTGCTGGAAAAGCTCAGTACTTCTGGCAGCATCCGTGGAGAGAAATCAGAGTTAATGTTTTGGGTCCAGTGACCCTTCCTCAGAACAGTTCTGTGTTGTGGATCAAGCCAAAAGGGAATGGATTAAAAAGGAAGTTAAAAATATTGCTTCACAGCATCTGGATTTTCATTCAAGAGAATCTTTTATCTTTTGCATGAGGCTCCTGGAAGTTTTGGGCAGAATCCTAGCCACCCTCAACTATGCCCACCTCCCCCACACCCCCCACACCACCGCCACTCCCCCCCCCACCCCCTCCCACCAACCCCTGTGTAATAGGACAAATGGTTTGTTTCTGCATTGTAACATTTTATGACACATACAACCTGTTAGTATATCACAGGGTGAAACTAACCTTGTTGGCATGTTCACACTTTTTCCTGAGGTAGTCGTTCTCACACTGGAGCTGCTTCATGTCCAGCATGGGAAGCCGAGCTCCATCTTCTAGGCACTTCTCTACTTTCTGTTGCAAACTGAACATAAATGCAGCAAAACGTTATCAACCTGAAATGATGCCCCTGTTTCTCTCTCCTGACAAATGCTGTCTGATGTGCTGTGTGTTTCCAATAATTTCTGTTTGTATTATAACGATAATATACCTGATATCGACATCCCATAATATTTCTCCAGAAGGTTGGCAGTTAAAGAATTTAATGCAGCCGCATATCAAAAATAGCAGCTATTTTGCATTGGGTTTGTTTTATGAAGAAAGCCAACCAATGCAATCATTGCCAAAAAAAGGTACACCATTATTTAAAACTTACAAACTATATAGGGATGGCACAGTGGCTCAGTGGTTAGCACTGCTGCCTCACAGCACCAGGGACCTGGGTTTGATTCTATGTTTGGGCAACTATCTGTGTGGAGTTTGCACATTCTCCCTGTGTCTGCGTGGGTTTCCTCCAGGTGCTCCAGTTTCCTCCCAGATGTCCAATAATGTGCAGGTTAGGTAAATTGGCCGTGCTAAATTGCCCGTAGTGTTCAGGAATGTGTAGATTAGGTGGGGTATGGGGCTTGGTGGGATGCACCAAGGCTCTGTGTGGACATGTTGGGCCAAAGGGCCTGTTTCCACACTGTATAGATTCTATGGATAGCTGATGATCTTGAGCAATTCTTTGTGACTGAGCAGTATATCAAAATGACCAGACCAGGATTGTTGGGTCCAATTTTAAATCATTCAAAATCCATCCACTTACACACCAAATTGAAAATCAAGCTTATAACGTGCTGCGCTAGCACCAATATGGATTTTGACTTCTTGGATTTGCTGTTGGGACAAAGTATCTGACTGCCTGAAAAGATCGTCATCAATTTGTGGTGGAAGGGTCCTAAATGTAGGAGCTGTATGAACAATCCTCGTCAATGACCACCTTGCTATATGAGGTCAGAAGTCACATGGCACCAGGTTATAGGCCGACAGGTTTATTTGCAGTCACAAGCTTTCAGAGCGTAGCCCCTTCATCAAGTAAAGCACACAGAACACAGAATTTATGGGAAGAGAGATCAAGGGCAGACAGAAGTGTTCCCCAACTGGGAGGGAACATTTCTTTCTGGCAATTGTTGCACGGTGTGCATTCATCCATTGTCGTAGTGGAGAATGCTCAAGTGATCAAGGACATTCAGCGTCCGATCTTCAGCTTCCTCCAAGATACACAACAACGCAGAGTTGCCGAGCAGAAACTGATAGGCAAGTTCCATACCTATGAAGATGGTATCAACCATTATCTTGGGTTCATGTCGCACTACATGTGACCCCATCACACTGCTCTGCATCAGTAAAATCTTCTTTACTGTCCTGTTTTGCCACCATCACCTGGATAAATTGTTATGATCTCTCTACCTTAATTAGCTTGTACAGTTTTGGGTTACTTATTGCTTTGGTTAGACCCTCAGCATGCGACTCTTATACCTATCATGTTATTCCAGTCATTTGGTTTGTCTCTAACACCACCTTATTTTTAATTTTTTGTAAGTACCTTTCCGCCTCATTTAATCAATTTATAATTCATCCCTTCGCTTGTCATTCAGCTGTTGACACTTTACTCACACCATCTAACACTTCGGATCACCTGCAGGGACTTATTATTTGACACTCCATTCACACTATTTGTATGATCTTTTGATCTCTCTGCCCTTGATCTCTCTGCCCATAAACTCTGTGTTCTGTGTGCTTCTCTCTCACTTCACCTGATGAAGGGGCTACACTCCGAAAGCTTGTGATTTCACATAAAGCTGTTGGACTATAACCCCGGGGTGTTGTGTGACTTCTGACTTTGTCCACCCCAGTCCAACACCGACACCTCCACATCATTGTCGTATGAGGTGCTTGCTAGTATTGCCTAATTGGTCTGGAGTGGTAGTGGAAGACCACTTGATAGTCAGCAAAAAAAAAAAAGCTCATCTTAAACAGGATACATGTTAGCAACTAAGTACAAGTTACACTGATATGATAGGATTGCTACCGAAGGCGAATCTGAATGGTAAGTCTTACTCCTTTGAGATTCTATGATATTCTCTCATCAAGCCCATATGACATATTCAGTAGTGGAATTCATTTGACGTGGATTAAAGTAGAGCTGATTCAAAGCTATTTTGTAATCATCTGCTGTTCTTGTGCATTCCCTTTCAAAGTTCTTTATCTTCAGTTTTGCAGCTACATTTTTATCTTTTCTTCTGACTTTCCTTTACAAATTGCTGATTTTGTTGCTCAAAGTTCAGTATCAGTTTTGTGCAGGTTCTGCACATGGCAAAGAACCTAACCCAAACATTTTTAAAAGTTTTGTATCAACTTTGAGAGGCATGTTGGCCGCCCATTTCAAGGCCCACTCACAATGACATCAGCAATCTGTAAAGGAAATCACAGTGGCTGTTAAAAACACCATAAAAATCTAAGCTGCAAAACTGAAGATAAAGAACTTTGAAAGGGAATGCACGAGAACAGCAGATGATTACAAAATAGCTTCAAATCATCGCTACTTTAATCCACTTCAAATAAACATCTGATATTCCTTGACACCCTAATCCAAGCGAAGATGTAAAATGAGTAACTGAATGAGTCATACCTTTGTACGGTGGCAACTAATGCCTTTTCCCTTTTCTTCTGACTCTCCAGAAGCACCTCCTTCTCCCTGCAAAGGATTCGATTCTCCCCTAGCTTCTTCTCCAAATCTTTGAATGTGTCCTGAAACTTTTCATTTTTTTCTTCAAGTATAATAAGCTGCAATGACAATAATCGGAGTGTGATAATGAGTAATATCTTTCTTCTTGTAGACGATGACTTACAAACATAATAGACAGAGATTGGAGTCTAATAAGTGACTGCAATGTGTGCTCTTTGGAGAGATGTGTAGCAGAATCAAGCGACAAATGCAGTGAGGCCCACCTCAATACGAAGATTTTTTATGCTTCACATAAGTAGTGTGATGAGGTTCTTGTGAGATAGTGGCAAGATGTCAATTGACAAGTCATTATGGATTGTTAAACACCTTGTTGGTGGCTCGACTCACCTCATTAATGTTCTGACATCCATCTTAACAAACTCGCCAAACAAGCCTGGCATCTGGAAAACCTGACATGGAAACCAAAGTGGGAACATGGTGGATTCAGCTTGCTGTTTGCTGCAAATGACCTCAATGTCGGACAACAGCAGCAACAACTTGGGTACAGTCCACATGTCCACAGACACAGGCATCTATCATGCCAGCCTTGGTACACTCATGGCACATCTCAAATCCACTGACAGGACACTACTGCAAATTAATGTTACACCTTATGCTGCACTGGCACTATCATTGTAATGCTTCAGCAAAGGCACTGTGCACTCAGGGACATACACCCAGCTCATGGACTGGACCAGGCGGCAACTAGGCTATTCACTCGCTCTTAGAGCTTACTCAACCTCAGCCTATCTAGATGCTCACAGCATCCCTGCTATGAATTACCTTGTCTAACCATGCTTTCTCCTGTCAGCAAGAGACAACAGGCTCATTTTACTTCCGGCTTGCATTGCCGTTTGCTGCAAAAGCCAAAGCCAGGAAGCAGGTCATAGTAGTCAGAACACCCCAGTCAAGTCCATGGAGATAGCCTTCACTCAGGAGTTCCCAGTAGGTTAAGTCATGGGCAGCCTCTGACACCAGTTTGGGTTAATCCCCACAGAAGTGGAATGAGGCCATTAAGTAGTCATTAATTGGCCAAGGTCAATCATTGGCCCTCTCCCCCGAAACTTAATTGTAGTGGAGACAGAAAGGTAACAGTGTTTAGGTAACCCACTCACTCACTGAATTAAATGCTGTTCCTTCCTTGAATTGCACAACTAGTGAGAGCAAAAGGTTCCTCTGTTGCTTGAATAATCTCACTTCAAGGAATATGAACTCTATCATATTTATTCTGCAGGCTGTTTTCCCAAAAAATAGCACACTGTTCAGATTGCACCAGACTCTGGTTCTTTCACATTATCTAGATGCCTCTATATAAAACACTCCACTTAACTTTAGTTACTGAATCTAACACGTACAACAACATAGAACATGACGTTATTGCCTCCAAAATAAATTCTCATCGCTCTTACACAGGTAGTTTGCATTTCCCCAATCTCTCCTACAGCATGAAAAAAGGTGCTAGTCTAAGTCAGAAATAATATTCTCTGTGTCTATGATGACAATGCATTATCACACTTCAGGATCCTTGTTTTCTCTACAGCCTTTGTCCTTGTCTACCAAACACTTCCATAATCATTCTTATAATGCCCAACCCATTAAGACTGTTTATGTTTAAAAAAGAATCAGTTGACACTCCAGTGTAATAGTGAGGGAATATTGGACAATTGGAGATGCTGTCTTTTGGACGAGATGTTAAGGCCTCTTCTGGTTGCTTGGGTGAAAGTAAAAGATCCCATGGCATTATTTCAAAGAACAGCAGGGGAGTTAGCCCCACAATCCTGGCTAATATTTCTGCCTAAAAGCATGATCACAAAATAGATCTATCTGTCCTTATCACAGCGCTGTTGTAGTGAGCACAA